CACGTTGAATGGTGAGAATCTCTCTCAACACACCATATATGGTGCTCATCGTTGCAGACCGGTGGGGCGGGTGAGCCGCGCTGCGTGTGACTCGGCTGTGACGCGACTGTCACCGCTGCCGCGTCACAGCCGAGTCACGCGCAGCGCGGCTCACCCGCCTTACCGGTCTGCAATGATGAGGACTGTAACAACGGTCATTTGAAGAATGCACCTGATGAAATTGTCGGGGTATTTTTATTTATATGTGTAACTGATTACCTTTGCGCCATTGCTGGTTTCATGGAGCACGAGTACAGTAAAACAGCATTGTTTTCAACGGCAGTAGAGCCAAAAACCGGTATTTTGTTACTGAGGCTCTCCATTATTCGTTTCTAGATTGTAAAAGACGTTTAGCCCGTATACCACTTGGTGTTTTGCGGACCACACCAACAGTATTGTCATGAAAATGATTTAGCGCAATAAAAACTGTTCCACGAATACTCTTCTTGTCTCACAAGCTTGGGAAACACGTGTAAAATGCTGGAATATGGCAAGCAAGGTGACTGGAACAGAATACCTCTGAACAACTCATAAGTAGAATTCGAATGCTTACAAGGACAAAGCTGGAAATCAGTGTTGATCTGAGATGAACATTTTTGATATAGTTTACAGCTCAGACACAAAGCATACACAACGATCTGCATTATTATTTAAGAAAGATAACGTGATAAAATCCTGAAGTATCCTCCTTCAGAGTTGAGTATTTGATCCACAGAGGAAGGTGGTATGCTGCGGAGTTGGCCCAGAACAAGAAGCAGCCTACCACATCTAAACGCATTTGGAATGTAATCACAGGTTGTAATTGCTCCCACTTAGACGACGAGTAACACGTTGCAGTGTGCTTGCACGCCATTTCACTCGCTCATATAACCATCATCCATATGACCCGCATGAATCGAACATCGTTTGCTTGAAAACAGAGCTTGAAAGTAAAAAAAAACTGTGCGAGCCTACTCTCAAGGAAAACGGTAGGTCAAAGTGGACGTTAAAAATGAGCTGTATTATGACTAAGGCGGCCTCAGACGACAATTGCAAATTCGGCTTCCATTTCTGCTGCGAATTTCATCAAACGAAGTTACTGAGATTTTTCGAGTGGCCATACTTACACTCGACATAATGTCAGAATGAGGGGATCACGTACTGTCCGTTGAAACCTCACGAGTTATGAAGCCGGTCTCATGTTTTTACAATACTTTAATCTTGAATTCAAATAGGCTGTAACAATAGCTTCAGCTGGTAACAAGTAACAATGATAGTGAGCAACTAAGCAATCCTAGAATGCATATAACGAGATTTGAGACAGTGAAAAATTGACAACCTAATGGAAAACGCCGAGTTGTGCCACCGTACTCAGGTAGAAGCAAATGGTCTCCCGACTTCACACATAGGGATGAGATCACCTTTCTCATTACGCGCTCCCGGTCCGACTGCGATGACGGTCGCCTCGAGCACCTTGCCCTGCGCTTTCTCGGGCAACATTATTCCGCACTTCGTTTTCGTCTCAGCAGCGACACGCTCAACTAGCACTCGATCATGGAGAGGTTTGAACGATTTCAAAAGATCGCCAGCAATAGCACGTCGTACCGCGGTCAGGAACATGGCGGAAGAATTGGCGAGGGACAGAAGTGAAGTTTTTTTCGACAATGTTCTCTATACACATTTCAAGCATGCTTCTGCATGATTAGACAATTAAATTGTAACGGAGGCAATGTATAGGGAAAGAACCTCGCTAGGAAGAAAGTAGTCATAAACTCATTTGGCTGTTGATTTCTTCAGGACTACTTCATAATTCCGAAATCAATTGGAAACTTGTGTGTGATGAACTACACGTTCCCAAGTATAGAGAACACACACGTTCACTTTCACAGATTCTGATCGCAAATGTGGCACAGGCGTCATAAATATAATGCCGTAGATTAGGCCGCTGAATAGTCCCCTCATGTGAACGTTCGATGAGCAATGTTGGAATTTTGAACCGACAATTTCGCTTACTCAGTTCATACATGACTGAAAAAGCTATGCAAGGTTATATGACCTGATTAAAGGCAGTTGGCACGATAAATCGCTATACAGGTGTAGGATTTGTACAACTGGCTCAACATAATTCCGTGACCTCGGACAGGCACTGTGTGAAATCTTTTCCAAGGAGCATACCTCTATAACGCCCTATTGAGCAACAACTTTACGTCCCAAACGCCTTCCTTGCCCGCCTGCCCACAAACGGACGACCGTTTCTGGCGCTCGTATTCATTCACTTGCTGAGCAAATTATGAAGCAAAGGGATCGGTATGAAGCGGCGGTGATGCTGCATGCATATCTGGATACACATATGCAGCCGTACCTTCGGTTGCGGTGATTGGCAAGGTGCGTAAGGGAAACTCGTCCGAAATCGATTTACAAGTCACTGAGAAAGGAGGCTTTTTCTTCGCCGGATTTTGACCGTTTCACTCCGTTCTTTCGCCAGTTCCCCACTATACAGCGCCCTACTAGCATTTTAGGATAAGTAGGAAATTATCGTGCCAACTGCCTTTAAATAAACTCGTTGTCGGAGGAGATTTCCGAAGGATATTGCTATAGGGCACACCGCTATTGATATTGGATTCGTTAGGCCGATCTGGGACTTGACCTCCACACCACGCACCATTTGCTACTACACTACCTTCTCTTCACAGAGAAATTAATAATACTATCTTACTATATTATATCCTTGAACGCTGCTCCAATAATGTGGATTTGGAGGAGAATAAATAAAAAAGGTGAAAATGTGATTTCAAGGCTTGTTCCAATTTTTTTTTGCGGCTGCATATGACCAGGTCAACTAATTGCACTCCTTTGCAGAACGGCAACGAAAGGAATTATTGCCAGCAGAGTTTGCACAGCCGTATGGTGTCAAAGAGAATAGTAACCAGAAAGAGAATGCATGCTCGTGACTACCTCAATTTTCCGGTGTGGTGGTCAAAATCTCAATTTAGGTGTAACTTCGTTACCTGAGGTAGTTGGGTGCAGGTTTGGACTCCGCGTATGGTCACCGCTGCCATTTTTTGCCTGGCTCCGAGCAGCGATTACTTACTGATGGAGCTATACCCTTGCAATCGTGTGAGTGAAAACCTGCTCCCTTCACGTAGCTTTGGCACCATCTCAAACTGCTTGGCATTTTGCCGAATCTTCAGAAATGAATAAGGTTAGAAGGACGACAGAGCTTCTGATTACTGCTGTATTGATTACCTATAGTGAGAGTATGGTTGATAATTCTTATTTTCTTTCGCTACAACTGATCCAGGGTTTTTGCTTTTTTCCCTGGTCCTGTGGTCCTGTTACTGTAACACTTTGTGTGAATTCAATTTCCGAGAACTGAGAGCGTTTTCGAGAGAGCTACAGGTTGTTCGCAATGGGCAACACAGGGTACACATGTGCAAGCGGCTTCAGGGATTGTGTTGAAAGAGCGGTCTTGCAGTTTTCTGCTCACTTCTTTTCGTTTGCGCTGTTCAGCTATGTTTCGATCGGATAATTACAGTCCTCATCACTACAGACCGGTGGGGCGGGTGAGCCGCGCTGCGTGTGACTCGGCTGTGACGCGGCAGCGATGACAGTCGCGTCACAGCCGAGTCACACGAGGCGCGGCTCACCCGCCCCACCGGTCTGCAGTGGTGAGCACCATATTTGCCATATAAAAATGTGTATCCCTGGGTCCTAGAAGCTTGTCATAAAGGTTGCGTTTGAAAGAAAATTCCCGTGCCTCCTCAATTTCGGGTGCCAAGTAAAGGCTGTGGCTGTTTTGGCTAGGTTTCAACCGGAAAGAAGAATGTTCTCTGATTGATTGATTGATTTATTACAGGAGCAAGGCATCATGTGCAAATGAAAGTAAACAAATCAAAACCCCGGTGAACATAACATTTTGGAATAAACAGTAAATACAATAATGTAGTCGTAAAAGTCATGAAGTGAGTCATAAATGTATATTTAAATAAAACAAACTAAAAGATTGAAGCAATGTTACAACCAAGTAAACTGAGCTGTAAATAAAAGCCGTAGATAAAAGCGGAACAAAAAGAAAGTGTGGAACAAGATGTTAAAATGTGAATTGCCCCCTTGATCTGTCTGAACCGAACCAATTTGGGGGGGGGGGGGGGCATAGCTCTTTTTTTTGTAGGCAGAGCCCTCACTATAACAAAAAAAGTGGATTTTTATTCTCAGATTGGGTCGAGGTATGAATACCTTGGCATTTCTTCCACGCGTCCTATAGTACCTGTTAAAAAGCTTCGCTTTGCCAAAGATACTTTCCCACGGAAGTTTTTACAAAGCATAAACAGATCTTGATGGCACCTTTCAGCTTCTAGCGTTTGAAGGCCAAAAACTCCATTTCAACTTGTACTGTTAGGAATTTTCGCATAATCATCACCATGGATTTAATTTCGTACTATGGATTCGAACCATAATTTTCTTGTGAAATCATCTGGACTTTCACAAGGGCTGTGTGACGGCTTTCTTGTGGGCGGAATAAATTACTGTAACATGCTACGACGGGACGAATATAGATTTTGTCTTTCTGGAGAAGGAGCTATGAATCTTTGCAACAGACCGCCCTGAAGAGATCGCCCTGAAAGAAGCAAGTTTTGGAAAGGATGGAAAATGCTCTCAACTCCTTCCCCTATCGCCGATACACGCAGTACTCGGAAGGTGTCGAACCATGGCGCAGCTGCACCTTCTGCGGTGCGTGAGCAGCGCACTATTCCGACTCTTGTCCAACAATTCGAAACGCGTTAGACCGCAGACAAGTTGTTTACACGCTCAAGCTTTGCACCTTTTGTTTGGAGAATTGTGAAGAAGGCCGATGCATAAAAGGAAGGAGGGTGTGCTGGTACTGCAGTAAACTCGAAGGAACCCCGTTTGAAGATGTAATACCTCACGACAATGGCCACAATCGAGCATTATGCCCCGTCCCGGACGCAAAGTGGAGGATCGAAGCCAGGGTGCAAGCAGCAGTTCGCGAATTACAGGAGATGGAAAGAAATCGACATTCGAGGCGGGGAATGTCGCGGCATTAATCCGCGACCAGGAAGATTCATCTACGATAATGATACCATTTTTTACATCTGTTGTAACGATATCGTTCTCTTGATGTACGTTGCATTGTTTCTTGACGTGGAGAAGTGTCTGGTTCAGTTACTCAAGTTGAAGTAAAGATAAAGTGTTACGGCACTGTGCTCGGATAATTAAGTCCCGCGTGGCAGAACAAGTTAATACAAGGGCACTCTTGAACTAGAAAGCTTCCAACATCGAGCAGCTCCGACAACGTCGCTACGGTGCAGAATATCATCTTCACCGCAGTTGCCAAGGCAAGGTTGCTGTTATGGACCGGAAGTTCCTGGAATTGAAGACCGATATTTTATATCGCGATCAATTGTGAAGGCGCGTATGCAGAAGTGCGCTGCAACGCGAAATTACGGTACGGTATACAACGCCCCCTCATTGGCGAAGGAATAAAAACCCACTTTGGGACCGAAAATAGACCAAAAAACCGTCGAATCATTCATCACTCCGGTACGCCGCTCATCATCCTACGACGCTCCCCATCCAAGGACTCCACCTCGTGGAGGATCGGGTCGACGGTCTCGTAAAGGGAGGCCTGCTTGTAAAGTATCGACCGCCGTCATCCCTGTACGAGGTCACAGCCGGGCTTTTTGTTTCCTCAAGAAGTCACATACGGAGAAAGTTATGTTGTTCAAAGATTGAAAATTCGTGGGTGACAGTAGAATTCAACAGCGATGACACAGATGGCGATATTCGTTTGAAGGAAGTTGTTCAAAATACTTTGAGTATAATTATTCAACATCAAGCGTAGAGCTTCACAAATTCTCTTCTGAACTTTCTGGCCCATATTGCAAAATAGTATATGTACTCCAGTGTAAAGTTTCTACAGCATTTTTAACGTTCACGTGCATATCCTAATTGTGCGTGAACATTTGAAATCTAAGTATGCGATTTGACATTCTTTTTTCTTTTCCTGTCCTTTTTTTGTCTTCCTTTTCTTTTTTTGGAGGAAGGGGCGAGCCGTACCGAGATCAGCTTCCGAGACGGGGAAGAGGGGGCGGGGGGTGTGGCACTGAAAATAATTTGTTCACAAGGCAATGGCGTCTCCTGGTTGTAATATTGAGCACTACTGCACCAGGGCGGCACTAGTCCCAGCAATGTGAGTGAAGTACTAGATTCAGGTTTTCGGACAGTTTCTTGGAAATGGACCAATTTGTCGGAATCCTTCATGCTATCACTGGATGCTTAATATACAGTGCCATGAGGCAAAACATTCCATAATGTGCGTCAGAAAGAAAGCAAAGGCTTAATCAAGTGAGCTATGTAGTCATAATAAAAATGAGTCATTTCAAATATTTAGTGAATTCGAAAAGAAAACATTTCAACAATCTTATGGGAAGCGAATGAATCATCAAATTTCTCGCAATGTTTTGCAAAATTTTATGCAGAATGCAGAAGACTCCCGGAAGATAATGAGGCGCTTATATACTCTTTTTGATTTCTGATCGATTTCGTAGTGAGTTGAGGATTGCAATCATTGAGTAAAGTGCGAGCAGTGTGAAAATATT